GCCCGTGCCCAGCGGCGGCCGGAGCGCGGCGGCCGCTCCTCGTCGTCGTCGTCGCCCGGGAGGCGGCCGCCCCCATCTCCCCCCGCGCCGCAGGGTCTGTCACTGCGGGCCGCCCCTCGCCGGGGCCGCGCCGGCCATGCGCCGTCCGCGCCTGCGCCCAGGCCGGCCGTTAGCCCCGGGCCGCGCAGCGCAGCGTCGCCGCCAGGAGCACTGGGAGCGGCCTCGCGGGGCGGCGGAAGGATCCGGCGGACGCCCTCCCTGCCGCTCCGAGGACGGATCGGGCCGAGAGCGGACGGCGGCGTCCGGAGCCCAGGAGCAGCGCGCTGACTCCCTCGCGCGCACGGGTGGCAGCGGCCAGCACAAGTGGGCGGGGCGGCCGCCTCTCGCGACAGCCCAGGCCGGTGGGGCCCGCCCCCCATGCTGATTGGCCGAGAGACGCGTCCGCGGCCGGGGATTGTTCGGGCCCCACCAGCTGATTCGCCCGTGCTACGACCACGCCTCCGAAGGAGGCTGTCGATCAAGCCGGACCCGCCCCTCCCCGCCCCCCCGGGGTTCGGCGCGCCCGGATTGGTCGGCGGAGGTCGGCGAAGCGGAAAACCCGGGGCGGATTTCTGGTCGCTTTTGTTCCCGCAGATGTTCGCGGATCCTTCTTTTCTGGGCGAAGCCGGGAGCCCGGCCTCACTGCTTTATTCCCCAGCACGAAGCCGGAGGGGCGGCGGCGGGCTTGGAAGAGCGGATGGAGCGAGGCTCCGGGGCCTGCAGTTCCTACCTTCCCTCTGTCCCCACTGGGCTGTGTGACCTTGGGCTAATCGCTTGGCCTCTCGGAACCCCCGGTCCTCCCGGGGAAACTGAGGGTAATAGTGAGCGCCGGCAGCAAGAAGGCGGTGAGCTCGCAGAGGGCCTGGCGTTTGCGCCCGCTGCGGTCGGGCCAGGGGAGCCCCGCACTAGCATCCTCCACTCAGAATGGGGAAACTAAGGCGCGGGGGCAGGCAACTTGCCTCCCTTCGTTCCTGGAAGGCGTCCTTGGTGTCCCGGGGCCAGACCGGGCTCTGGGACGGCTCAGGAGCTGTTCGTCCTCCAGGGTGCGGTCCAGGGTACCTGGCCCCCGCAGGGAGCATCATCGCCTCCCACCTCGCTGGGGAGCTGGGAGCGTGCTTGCCGCCCCTGCCCGCACCCCGGGGCGCATTGCTCCAGTGCTTTTGGCGCGCTCGCTGGGGAGCAGCAGGAGCCCAGGAGGGTCGTCCCCACCGACCCTGGGCACAGGGTACTTTGCGTCAGTAACCGAGCTATCCTGTCCTCTGGGGCCTCCTTCTCCTGTGATTCCTGGGTACGGATCGGCCATCCTCCAAAATCTGAGCTCCCAGGCGCAAAAGACCGCGGGCTAGACAGTTAGGGACCCCTCTGCTTCCTGTTGACTAAAGGAATGGAAAGATCTTAGAACCTACTATGGCCCAGCAGTGCCACCACACCTGGATTCCAGGTCCCTCCCACCAGCGGTGCGACCTGGGCCATTCGCTCAACCGCTCTGCACCTCAGTTTCCAAATCTGTGAAAGGGAGCCAGGAGCCCAGCCGGCCAGCTGGCAGTGGAGGTCAGAGATGCTAGGCGGATACCCTCACTCCTGGGAGAGCGGAGGCCCGAGCCGAAGGAGGCAGGGATCGGGCAGCCCAGCTCCTCACCGCCTTTCTGCTACCTCTTGCTGTGGTACTGAACATTACCCTACAATGAATAGTGTCCCCCCAAATTTCATGTTCACTTGGAGCCTCGGAATACAGTCTTTTTGGGAAATGGGGCTTTGCAGGTACAGTTAAGGTGAGAGGCAAGATGAACTCATACTGGGTGAGGCAGCCCCCACGTTCAATAAGGCTGTCCACACACGAGTCAGAAGAACCCACAAAGATTTGGGGAGAAGGTCCTGTGAATTCAGAGGCAGAAACTGGAGCCACGCAGAGCCAAAGACGGGGGAGGGATCCTCCCCACGGCCTTCCTTGCGAGGAGCCCGGCCTACCCACAGCTTGGCTTGGCCCACAGGACCGGAGAGGATGTGTTGTCTGTTTTCAGACCCCTGCCCTTTGTGGTCACCCAGCAGGGCAATCACAGGAAACCAGTGCGGTGTCACTTCCCCACCCCAAGCGTGGCTGCACTTGAGTGGTGCACTTGAATCAGTTCTCTACAGATAGTAAATCCCTGCCCTACAGGACTGGACCCAAATGGGGCCAGTGAGACCCACAGCCGGGACTGCACCCTGAGACGCCCCATTCCCCCAGCTCTGTCCCTGTCTCTCAGAGGAGGGTGGACACGGTGTTTTTCCAGCCATTCCAGTAGCCTCTACATCTGGCCGGAGGCTCTGAACCCAGTAACCTTTCCCTCCTTGCCTCTGGTCAAGACACAAGGTGAGCCCACAGCCAGCGGGGCAGAGCATCTCCCCCTGCTGGGCACACGGCCTGCCCAGTTCTCAAGGCCTTGGATCCCCAAGCGGGGGCTGGCGGAGCACCCGAGGCCCAGGCCAGGTCAGAAGGGAGGGCACATGAGCTGCAGCAAGACCAGGCAGGCGGTATGCGGCCTGTGTGGTTAAGGAAAGGGGGCTGTCCCTTCCGTGGGGCTGCACGGAGCACACGTTAGTTTTGAGAGAGTAATGGAAACCTAGGGTTTACCACAGATTCTCCAAACGGGTGATTTTACACCAAAGGTGTGATCACAGGCCTGGTTTAGCCTCGTGTCTGAATTGGTGACCTGACTCACTGGGCTGTGGGAGGGGGTGGCCGGCTGCCCTTGCTTTTCGATCTCCTTCAGAACCAGGCCCAGGGGGAGGAATGTGGAGGCCCCGTAGCACTTAAGATGAGGGTCCTCAGACACAGAAGCCGCAGGGCACACGGTCAGGGCACGAGTGGTCTCTGGCTGGGATTCGTCCTTCCCTCACCCGTGCACTGCTTCCCTCCCTGTGATTGAGAAGAGCCCAGGACCCAGCGCCCCCAATGTGGGCCCCTGGACACCAGACAGGCCTCCTGTCCCGACAGCCCCTGGGACCCCACGGCCCCCTTGGAACGTGCATTCAACCTCAGTCAATTGCCCCCAACCCTGCCCCTCCCAGGATGAAATCACAAAGGCAGCATGTCATTTGGTAGATAGCCCTGCACACTGTAGCTCCAAAGGTGCCCCTTGGTGCCAGCCTTCCCTGACTGTGGCTGCTGACAAAGCCCACCTGAGGTCCCGAGTGATGCCCAGCCCTGGCCTTGTCCCCCAGACCTGCTCCTGGGGTGTCAGGCATTGGATAGATGCAATGTCTCCCTGTTGTCACGCCCTGGGCACTTGTTCCCATGTGGAGAGGCCTAAGCCCGGCCCGGGGAAGGAGCCAGGCTCCTTGTGGACCAGGCAACGTGGAACCTGATTTTGCATCCGCCAGGTGAGTCCTTACACCCGTGGGCTGGTGCTGACAGAAGTGACCTGCTTTTAGAGGTGGGGTCTCACTGTGTGGCCCAGGCTGGTCTTGAACTTCTGGATTCGATCCCTCGGGCCTCTGGCTCCTCATACAGCTGTGTGCCGCTGTGCCCGGCAAGATGACAGTTTGCCATTTCTGTTTCATCTCTTGCTCTTCTCTACCCCTGGCGTGCGCACACACACACACTACACACACACACACACACACACACACACACACACACACACATTTTCTTTCTGGAGTACTTTCAAGTGAGTAAATTGGAGATTAAGTAAATAAGCATGCATATCTAAGTTATTGTGTAGTTTTGACTGTTTATGAAGCAATGTTTGCTACTTGTAAAGAGAGCATTGATTTTTTGAGATAGGGTCTTACTATGTAGTACAAGCTGGCCTCGAACTCACAATGCTGCTCCTGCCTCGGCCTCCTAGAGTGCTGGGATTACAGGCGTGCACCACCACTTCCGGCTGCCACTCTGATTTCTCACTAATGCGCCCTGCATGTCATTCTGTGTTGATGACACCCTCCTACCTCATGCTTTGCCAGGGCTCAGGTGGGCCAGGACCTACTTCAGAACCCCGCACATCGGGTACACAGGTTGTGGCTGCCCTGGGACACTTGCTTCCCAGGGGCCGTCCTGTTGCCCCCTGGCTGCTCTTCGCCTCGCTGAAACCAGATCTGCTCTCTGGATCTTGCTGGGGTTCAAGAAGTATCTTGTTTCAGAGCCCCGAAGACGGAGGAGCTGGATGGCTTCCCAGGCCCCTCAGAGTGAGTTGGCCCACTGCCGTCTGGGTCGTGTTGGAATTGTGCACCCGTGAGGCACACTCAGACATGCGTGTGGGAGGGCAGGGTTCCAGGGGAGGTTGTATTGTTGGGGTGACCGGGGTAATAACACCCGAAGGTTTCACTTTAAACAAATACCTCGGAGCCCAGCCTAGCCTCCCGGCTTCGAGCAGACACCCAGAAGCTGGTGCCTATCACAGTAAAACCGTGATTGCTTCAAAACATGTCCGCAAGTGCCTCCTAAAGCCATCCCAAGACTCTGATGTGAGTAATGTTTGCGTGTCCTGTGGACTGCAAAACCTTCGGGCTCCTAGGTGGGTCAATATCTGGAAGTGGCCTGTGTCCACTACACAAATTGCAGACAGCAGAATCCTCTGTATCTTCCGGGAGCTCCCTCACCAGAGTCAGAGTTGCAGGCAGGGTGGACAACCAGACAGGGATGGAATTTTGTATCTTTTTCTATAAACTGCCCTGGTTTTTTGTTGTAGTCTTTTTTCTGGCAATAATGGGGATCAAACCCCCGA